AAAAACTAACTAACTGGCACCTGCTTCTTCCTGGAGAGCTTCCACTCCAGCAGCTGCTTCTTGTACTGGGCCAACCTTCTCTGATACTCCTCCTGGCTCTCCACCTCCAGCTCCATCACCTCTGCCAGGATTTCTTCTTCATGATCATGTTCATCTGACGCCTGGTCCACATTCTCCCTGCACCGCACAACATGTGGACGACGTCAGCACGTGGCTGGTGGGCAGGGGCAGGGAGAGAGAGAAAGAGAGAGAGATAGAGAAGGAGAAGGAGAGAGAGAGAGTGTGTGTGAGAGAGACTTACTTTCTTAGGTATAGCTTGAAGGGTGTGTTGGTGAACTTCTGGAACTCTCTCAGATCCTTCATGTCCTTCCATGCTTTGATGATGTTCTTCAGCAGAACTCTGTCCTTCTCCTGCTGGCTGTCTCTGAGCTGACGGGTGTCTCTGTGGAGACATAGCAGTAGTGTTGGGGCACAAAAAGAAGGGAGGATGTGTGCAGGCCTGGTCCTCACCAACCAACACTGCTGGGGGAGACCAACCTTTTGTTGAGCTGACATTTTATATTTTTATATTGAACACCTTTAATAATGTGAGTCTGTTTGATTAACTGTAATCATTACAGATGTAACAATGCATCGTTAATGGGTTAAAATTCAATACAAATACGTGACAATTCTCATCAGTTGAAATAAAATATTAATTGCTAATCTTTTAGTTGTCTCAAAACGTCGCTGGTCATACCATGACACTACACACTCTAGTACAGTAGGTGGAAGTATTCTTCTAAAAACCTTGGTTGTGACCCACTATTAAACCCAGATGTCAGGTCCTCACATAAGCTAAGAGACATTCAGATGTTGAAACAGAACGTGGAAGAACTTGTTCCACAGACACCAACAATGTTTTCCAGCGTTCTCTCACCGAACTTCTTGGCTGTACTCAGAAATCCTCTGCTGCATGGCTGGAGAGAGGTTCTGCCCACCATGGATCTCCAGTATGTTCCTCAGCGCCCTCCTCAGGCCATTCAACTGTTAAAAGATCCAAAAAGTCAGAAAGTCACTGTTAAAGGCAGCAGGAAATGCAGTCAACCTGAAGATAATATCACTAACATAAGGTGTGCTACGTGGGTAAACTAACTGACTTGGTCTGGAAAGGCTAAAATGTATTGACTGGACAAAATTGTCTTCATCACCGCAACAGTGGCAAGGAGAGAAATTGAATACACTTCCACTAGGCGGCACAGATGGGTATGGAAAAAAAGGAAGAAGGACTCAGTTGGTTGTTTTTGTGTGTTTTAGTGTTGTGTTCAACTAAACAGGACTAGGTTTCACATTGAGTCAGTAAACTGTAAGTTAATTAAAACTAGAGAATTTATAAAAGTTATATTTCATAACACTTACTTTTGCAACATTTCTGTCACATACATGACAAGTCTAAATATTATGGTAGCTTCAACTGGTGTCGCCACTCTCACAGCAAAACATCATTCCATCACTGTCTTCTTTCAGCTTTGGTCAGGATGCCGTCAGGGTGAGGTCAGGTTGATGTCACTCTACCTTGTCAGTCAGGTGACCAGTGAGGTTGTTGTGCTGCCTGCTCAGATACTGATCATACAGCTGGGCCAGTCGAGCTGCCAAGACGTGTTCACGGCTGAAAAGTGGGTGATGACTGAAGACCAATCCAGAAACATCTACGTCCAGTCTGTAGTCTCCTTCTGGATCTGCTGCCCCCATCATGTACATTTTGGCAGGTTCAGACTTGATGGCCTGCAGTGGAGGTAGTAATTGAAGAAGGACTGAGAGTCTGGTGAGTTCTGACAAATCAGGACAAGTTCAGATTCATTCACATCTACTAACAGACACGCCCACTGGGGTTACTCTTCTATCTGTCAAATGGACAAAGTGTGGACGAGGACATAGAGAGGACGAAGACAGTGAGTCCTCTGCTCTTCATAGTTTCTTTGACCTTCTGTTTATGTCTTAGAGAAAGTTCCTTCCTGACAACAGGTCTTTTATGCCAAACTGCCCAACTGCCCTTTTGCTCTTTCAATAAAGGGCAGTTTGAATGTGCACATTGTTCAAGAAATAGGGCAGGAATAGTGTCTGTGTGTGTGTGTGTGTGTGTGTGTGTGTATGTGTGTGTGTGTGTTTAGTGTCTGACCGTCCTGTGAACAGTTTGCAGTGCAGGGTCCAGATCCTCCTCCATGTGGAACAGAGGAGGTCTGGTGGACGACTCCTTGATGGGATCAGGCAGAGCCAGGATCCTGCCATCGTCTCCAAACCACTTCTTACCCTGAACACAGAACAGAACATTCATCATGGAACACGAACATCAGTCACAGCTCTAGGTCTTACTTCATTTATTATTATTACAGTGGAACATCGAGATACCAGTTGAATCAGTTCTACAACTGCACTCGTATGTCGATCCACTCGTATCTAGATCGAATTGTCCCCATTAAAAATAACTAAAAAACAATTAAATTGTTCCAGTCCCCCAGAAATATACTATTAATTAATTAATTAACCACCATCTAAACATCAAAAACATATAAACAAATATATTGATAATATAAAAATAATAATAATTAAGAAAACGTTTTGTATTATTGTTATAAAATAGGTAAAATAACACTCTAAGGGACAGTGAGGAAGACAGCGCCACAGTGTGTCAAGTGGAACTTGGAAAACACATATTCCAGATAGTTCGTATCACGTGGTTCCACTGTATTATTATTATTATTACCATTATTATTATTATCATTATTGGTATTATCATTATTGTTGTTATTATTATTAATATCATCATTATTATTTTTGTTATTATTAAACCATCTTGTCCAGCTCATGTTTTCCACCCATTCAATCATCCTCTTATTTATTAATATAACTGTGGTTTGGTGGGACTCAAGGACTCAAATACCTCCTCCATTTTCAGAATCCGGTTCTCCATTTGGTTCTGGTTGTTCTGGGACACCGAGGGTCTCTGTCCCACGTACAGACCCTCGTCCTCCAGGTAACGTGGCTTCATGTTTTCAGGGAGTTTCACCGAGGTGGGAACTGTGATGAACACAGACACAGATTAACCACATCACAGCTGAACATCAAAGTGAGGTCAACATAACTCAATTTTGAAGTGAAAGGTCAATGACCTGTTCCAACACTGGGCGTGAACAGCAGCTCTCTCTCTCTCTCCCTCTGGACAAGGTTCCTGTACCCAGTATACTCTGCTTTCCTGACCTCCAGGAAGTCCTGGGACGATTGTTGTATAGTAAATAAATCCTCCTCTTCATCTTGGACCAAAGGAGCCTCCTCATTCTAGGGCGAGAACGTAAGATTTTAATTAAACCTCAGATTTGAAGACCATTCTGACATGATAAACAAAGAAGCTTCACCTGGTCTGGGTTTTCATCCTGATTATCATCTACAGCATCGTCTTCCTCCTCAGCTTCAGGTTCTTCTTCATCTTCTGCTTCATTTTTGTGTTTCTGTCTCCTCCTGCCAATTGTCTCAGCTTGTTCTGGAGGATCTGGCTCAAAGTTCAAGGTGAAGAAGTTGTAGGCCTCCTCAGCAGAGGGGAGACCCTTCTCTGTCTGGGACTGCAACAACCAACGGATAAATTACAGACAGGATGTCAGTGGATCAGTCAGTGGATTAGAGAATCCTCACCTGTCTCCTTGATTCCCTGAACTTGACCCTGGTGCTGAGGTCAAATGGGACACGATGGGGTCTCGCAGCTGTGTCAGGATCAGTCTGATGAGGACAACAGTCTAGACCTTAGTTATGGAAGGACCCGGTCTTTATCTTTATAATTACGGCTGTGTATTGTCAAGAATCTGTCGATATGATACATATCACAATATACTGCAGTACTATAGCCACAAGGATATATTGAGTTTTTTTTCCACCAATGTAACTGTAGTCAAAGTGTCATTATAGTAAAGACTCTGCTGCTGTTCCATCTGAACATCAGGTTACTAACATTGGAACAGAGGGATCTACATTTGGAATCACTAGAGGAGAAAGAAAAGAAAAAGAAAATGAACCAACACCAGGAATATTTGACTGGGAATTGGTGATAAAAAAAATCAATACACTGATGGAGGAGATTGATACGTATCAGGAAAGTAAATAATGTGATACTTCAGTGTATTGATATTTTCTTACATCTCTGTCTGTTATCATGTAAAGACTGAACTCACCTCCCTGTCAAACCTGGTGACAGTGTCTCTGTGTCTCAGGCTCTGAAGACGACTCCCCGACTCCAGAGAGGACGACTCCTCCTGCTGGAGGCTCCCTGCCTTGGACTGTTATGAGGAGAGATAAGAAGTAAGGAACAGATCTAACTGCAGCCGTCCTCTGACCAGAGGGGAGGCGGTCTTACTCTGGCTGCTCTCAGCCTCTCCTTCAGCTGCTGGGTCACGTTGCTGTCGAAGTGCTGCGAGCCTGAGCTGGACTCAAGTCCTGAGACCAGAGGAAACAGAACACTGTCAACCTTTGTCAAAGTTTAATGAGAGTCATACATTTTTTCACACGTTACGTGGAGTCTTTTCCACAACAGCTACTAGTATCAGGAAATTAGGACTTCACCAGACACTATGTATGTGTACTACCAGTGCAGACATAATATACAAAATCAGGGACAGTAGCATCAATTTGGAACTATTTTTCAGCATCAAAACAGTTCGTGGTTCAGTGTGTAAACACAGAAGGTACCGTTGTTTAGCACCGTTGCTTTCATAATGGAAACACCAACCTCTCGGAGAACGTGTTGAAACAATCACAGGTTCTGCTGACTTCTCAGCTGATCCCTCAGTGAAAACCTCCCCTCTCTCCCCCTGAGCGCTATGGACTGAAGACTGTTCAAGCAGCTGTTGGTCAACAAGAGAGAGGAAAATGATTGATACAGCATTTGTTAGTGGTATTTGGACACTTGAGGGGGGTTTAATCAGACCCTTTTCTTCCTCCTCTGTCTCTGAGCCTGGAGTCTGCGTTTCAGACTTTCTCCTGGATCTTCTCCATCTCTGGGTTCCTGTCGTGGCAAAGCAGAAACCATGAGAAGCAGCAGCATCAATCAGATGATGTAGTCCTGCATCCATGCTGCTAATGATCTCACTAAAACAGGAAGTGGGTTTGTTAACACGGGTAGCGGTGCCAAGGTGTGCTCGAGTCCAGAACTCCAGTTCGGGTTTTGAGGCCTGATAACTCTTCCTGGGTTTTGATGTCTAAAAACAAAGACCAGGATCATGAAGTACTTCAAGTCATAGACTTGATTATTTTAGGTGACACTAAATATATAAATTATTATTATTATTATTACATCACATTCTTTAGTATATATAAAAACATATTATGGAAGGTGGGGGCCAAAAACTGGACTCAAAGACTGGACCAGGCTGAGGTTCAGAGGCTCGACTACATCAATGGAGACAGATAACAGAGTTAGGTCAGGAACAGGAAACACATCCACAGAAGGAGGACTACAACTTAGAATCTAGACCAAGCATAGGCAAACTTTTTGACCTGTGGGCCACAATAAGTCCTAAAGTTTGCCGGGTCAGGAGCAGATAGCTAGCGTTCATATTAACTAAAACAAATGACATGTGATGGTCATACACACGCACACGCACACGCACACCCACACACCGACCTTCCTGTTGGTTTGTCCTTTCCCCTCACTCACCTCCGTAGACGGAACCAGAGCCTACCAAGTACAATTCGACATGAGCTACAGCAGTAATGGCTACAGGGGGCTGTGTTCAAATGTACTCGTCCAGGACACGCTGAGTCTGAATGTTGTTTGATCTCTTTAAGTCTGTCGTTGACAACGTCAGTACACATTTAAGCTGTAACATTACCTGCCCGTCCTCCTCATCTTTGGTTTTGGCCAGAGTCTTGCGCAGTTTCCCTTTAATGTCGCTAGAACACATTCAGAGGCGACGCTAACGTTAGCTTAGCTAAAGTCGAACCGCAACTTAAACATTTTTACAGTGAGTTCGTAGCGATGTATATTATGAAAGCAAGTCTTACCTAGACGTTGTCATTGTGGTAGTATTTGTTGTTTGAAAATTGGCCTTTTAAAGAAGGTGACAAGGTGAAAAGTTTAATAATTTCATAAAATCACGGTAGCACGGCTATTAGCCGTTCCGCTGCCTAGTAACGACAGATAAACTACGCCACAACCTACCATGATTAACAGAAGCGCCCGCTCTGTGGTAGTCAAATAAATTAATTACTGTCTCGTAGGAATAAAAATCACTTTAATTACCCCTTTACTATATTTTTATCATACAATAAGAAAATACAGAATTTGAATTCACCTTATGATAAATCCAAATCACAACTGCGACGTAGAAATAAAAGTGTTATTAAAGTCCCGCCCGTATTCTATCCTGATAGGTGGTTTGCACGTTTAACCAATCAGCAGTGCTCAAATGTAAATCTTAACCAATCAGTAGAAAAATATTTATGTTCTTACTAACATATAGTTAATATTAAAACATTTTCTGTTTTTATATTTCCACATCTTTCCGTAAAAGTAAATCTCTGTTTCTTTCAACAAAAAATATTTCTTATTTTAGTATATTAATCTCTATCTATATTAATAAGTGATACTTTTTATACAAATAATACATAGAACTTTGTATAAAGAAATGACACACTTTCTTTGACTAAATATATATTTATATTTTTTTAAATAACACTCAAATTTTAATAACATAAAATATATAAGCATCAAATATATAAAAACAATATTAACAAACACTTATTTATGTGTGTTTCCTGGCTCTACACATAATCCTCAGCCAGTATGTCAAAGTAGTTTGTGTCGGCGTAGAGTAGAAACCCAGAGAACAGGCTGTCAGCCCAGCCTGGGTCTGCAAATAAACCGTTCTGGTCTTTGTAGAAGATTTCCAGCCACACCTCGTCTTCAGGGTTCAGGTACATCACCGTGGACCCTGAGGCCACATCGTGGTTCCCCGTGTTACCATCAAAGGTCTTGATGCGATACTGACCGTTCTGCACCAGGCCAATGGCCAGATGTTTGTTGGCCAGCGTGATGTCATAGGAGAAGTAATACACCCCAGGGTAGGCACAGATGAACTTGCCAGTCAGTGGGCTGTAGTGTCCACCCTCGTTGAAGAGGACTTTGTTGAACCTGATGGGAGTGTTCTCTGGTGGGTAGCTACTGGTGATTCCAACAGAGAAAGCAGATTTGGGCAGCAGGCTGCCACACCTGCAGATGCCCCCTGTACCACGTGGACCTCGATCACCTTTGTTCCCCTTCTCGCCTTCAAGTCCTGGAGGACCTGGAGACCCCAGATCTCCATCTTCTCCTGAAGGACCTCTTTTACCTGGCACACCACGATCACCTCGATCTCCTATCTTACCTGTGGGGCCGACTCTGCCCTTCACACCTAAAAGCACAAAATGTGGAGTCCTTAGAGAACAGGGCACTGTTGTTGAAACTCTTTGACACTGTTTCCTGGCTCATAACTACCAGAGTGCATCTTCAAAGCAAACATACTGCAGAGTGTGAGTGCCACACTGTACTGAACCGTACCGTACCAGACTGAAACCCTGAATTTGTCGTCTGATGTTCAGGTGTGTGAAAAATTCCTGTCTCTGCACTTCATGGAAAATGGTCGGTGTACGACTACTTATTAATTCCATTCTCTGCTGACAGATTTATATACCAGCACAGACTGCACACTGTGATTTATCCACCGGGGGCGATGTGGGCGTGTTTGTTCCTGCCTGACGTGATCTTGACTTAACAACAGCCAGGAACAAAAACAGAGCTAGCATTAGCCCAAAGATGAGTGTGACGTAACCCAGAGATAATAACATATTCTTCACCATGTTAGGCTAAGTAATCGTCAGATTTTAAACTACTCTGATAACCTCTGTGGTCATTTCTGAAAACCTGTTCAGTTATTATGGTGTTCAACAGTACGATGAGTTCCTGTCAGATTCAGGTGAGCACCAGAAACTTTTAATATATAGTAATAATAACGTGACTAACAAGCAGCCCTAACTCAACGACACCTAATAATCACATCTTCCTACCTGTGTCGCCCTTCTCTCCCTTCTCTCCCTTTCTGCCATCTCGGCCATCTCTTCCTGGAATACCAACGTTCCCATCAGCTCCTGGAGGACCGCTGGGGCCGGGTTTCCCGGGCAGACCCGGGGGTCCAGCAATGCTGCAGATGAGACGTGGCGCCCCCTTCAGTTTGGTGTCAAACAGTTGAGCGACGACACAGTGAGTGAGCAGCATCAGCAGCAACATCTTCACATCTGAGGAGATCACAAGACATTACTCTGTTTACTCTGGTCTGGTACACCAGGTCAGACCCCCCCCAACCCCCCACCCACACTGGAATATTTACAATGTTCCTAATCTTTAACTCAGTGACTCAGTGGGAAACTGTTATGGGTCACAGGTCAACTGTCCCTCCTATATTTGGACAGATGTCCCCCAACCAAAGACTGCCGTTCACTCACACTGCTGGTGGGATTATGGGGGGTGTGGGAGGGATATGGGGGACTATGGGGGAGTATGGGTAGTACAGGAAGTACGAGGGACTCATGGTCCACTGTGCCTGAAAATTCCTTCTTCCTTTCATTCAGTCATTTTCATTCAGTCATTTTAAAAACAGAAAGAATGCTGTTGGATCTTCACAGTGAGAATCACAGCTGCTGACCCAAGGAGCAAAGAGTTCCTGGAACTTTAGTGTAAGGAACACAGTGATCCCTCTTAACAGTGGTCATCTTTGTGTCCACTGGGTCAGAGGTCAGGGGTCCAGAGGTCTCCAACTCTACAGGGCCCTCTGGACCAAACAATCCCAAAAAGTACCAGGACCTCATCATGATGTCATCAGTCTACAGCAGTACTTCTGAAAATACTCATTAAATACAAATAAATAAGTGACTGACGTGGGTGACTGAGGGTCAGGTCTGAGACATTCAACACTGTTGAGGAGGTGGCCCAAGAACCTGTCAGAACCTGGAGGCTCCAAAACACCAGAGTCAAGTTTTGAGTGTTACTTGTCATCATTTTAAGCCAGTTTGGCTAACGAAGATAACAGCTAATGTGGGCTACATTTCTGATCAACAGTCACTCTGTTGTCTGTGTCTTCAGAGTCAGCAGGTACGAGGCTGTACCAGGACAGAGAGGTCACATGACCACACCGCACCAGAGCTGAGAAGACGTCCTCCAGGGTTCTGACTGTGTTTGGTCCTCCAGAGTGGAGTGGAGACGGGGAGGACGGGAGCATAAACATAAAGATATAAACAGGAACCACACACACACACACACAGACACTGTACAGTGCAGCATGTCCTTGATTTTCATGGTACTGAAGGTTCTCTGAGCCAAAGTAAGTCCTGTGAGAGAGAAACCCCGCCCTTCATTTCTGCTCTGCACCGATGATGTCAGCAAATGGTTTACTTCACAAAAAACTGTCTTCACACACACACACATTCACACACTTAACAACAACAACGAAACTTGATCATCAGCAGAGAAGAAATAATCTAAACTATGAACTATGAGTTTTACTTCTTCAGAATTTTTTTGACTGTTCTTTCTCACTGTGGTCTTTAAAGAAGAAACTAATGTCTATACTCCCACAGACAAAGTCCAGAAAATCCAGAAAACTGATTTTAGCTCAGACCAAAGTCCATAGAAAAAAAATCAGTGATCTTAGTTTAGCCCAAAGTCCATGGAGAAAATCAGGAGACACAGGAGCTGTTGATCCACTGCTGCCTCCTGTGGTCAGTCTGTGTCACTGAGGTCAGTCTGAACAAATCATTTCCAACAGTGAAGTCATTAGAACTCAGTGATGGAGCAGCAGTGGATCAACAACTGCTGAGTCTGAGAGGTAAAATCACTGGTTGTCTTTATGAGGTTTGGTCTGAGAGAGTGTTTCAGTTTCCTATGGTAGAAAAGTCATTCTCACAGTGAGCTGAGGTCCTGAACATGTTACTGAAATACTCTGGACCTTATTCAGGGTGTGAAATCAGTTTTTGCTGGAATCCTGTTTGTTTGAGTCAGTTCAGTCAGTGCTGATTGTGTGAAACACTGACACTACAGTCAATCTTTCACACAGTCACATTTCAACACGTCTTAGCTGTGCCTTTAAGGAAGATTCTGCGGAGAGGGAGATTAAAGATGACAGCCAGTGCAACTATTTTAATGGAGAATGTTCACGACATGTGGCTACTGGATGCAGTGTGTGTGCGTGTGTTTGTGTACCTCTGTATTGGCAGCTGTTCATCTCCTCTGTCCTATCTTCTGCTCAGACCCTGGTCCTCCAGAGAGTGTGTGTTCTCACAGGACATGTTCTTCCTGGTTTAGAGGGTTTCCAGTGAGGAGCTGAGCTGTGAACGTCCCGTCGTGGAACTTCAGTAGTAGCTTCAGCAGCAGCTTGTACTCCCACCCCTCTTTATCCACTCCCTGTTTGCTGCTTCATAAACTTCACAAGGGAAAAAATCCAGAGATAGAGAGAGAGCGAGGGAGGGAGAGAGAGAGAGAGGGAGATAGAGAGACTATGCTTGTCTCTCTGCATATGTATTAATGTGTGTGTGTTTGTGTGTGTGCTGACTCCATGGTGTCATGGATGAAGATTCTCCGTAACTGAGAGCAGTGTGATGTTTTAAAGGATGTTGGAATAACAAATCAGGTTCATTTAAATTGTACCAAAGAAAGTCGCCACTAGAGGGAACAACAACATTTTCATTTCCTGAGGTCACCCACTCGGTTCAAAGGACCATTGGTGTTTAATTTGTGTTTTATTGTCAGTAATTGAAGTAGCTATAATATTGTTTATTATATTTTATATAATGTAAATAAATATGATTTTTATGATTTACCATTGTTTTAAATGGGTTGTTGTTGTTGTTTTTTTTAAACCAGAGACTAAATAAATCTCTCTTGTTATTTGCTGGTGAACTAAATCCCAGATAAACTGTATTCAGTGCTGCCCTCTTGTGATGTGATGCTGTCATCACATCCTGACTTTATTTACCAGGAGATTGCAGTATTTGAACACGGTTTATTTAGTCACTGTTTAATGTTGGTGACGTTTGGATAGGACAGTTGATGACCTGACGGGTGGTCTGTGTAGACCATCTACTGCAGTTAATCTACCATGTAAAGTCAGTATATCATCTGATCTCTAAAGTTCCTTCACAGACTGGGTTAATGATGCACCGTCCAACCATTCACAGCTGCTCAGACAAGACCATCAGCATCCACCACTGGGTGGGTGTGATGCAAAGATGGGGGTGGAGCAGTAGGGGGAGGGAATATCTGGAGGACCTCCGGGTGCAGAAGTGGAAGGAGTCACTTCTCTCCTGGGACCAGGTTCTGGAGTTTGTTGAACTTTCAGGATGGATTCTGTGCAAAGATGTTTGAAAGTGACTTTAGGAAATTCCAATCAATGTGGTGGAAATGACAGGTCCAGAGGGGAGAAGGCTGAGTCAGCAGAGAGAAAACGCAAGTAAGTTTGTTTTAATAAAATATTTCTCAGTGGTAAATATATGTGTCACATGTTCAAAGATTGCCGACAGGTTTTACATCTTTATAATCCCACTCACTGATTCAATAACCTGACAGAGATCTGTTAATCTTCCTCTGGGTGCAGTGAAATGGAGGAGGAAACCCAGGACCCAGGGGTCAAGGTCAGGGTCGGGGCAGACACTGATTGTCCATCTTCAGCCCCGCTGCACAGAGGTCAGTGGGCCAACAAGGTGGAGTTCTTCTTGGTTGTTGCAGGACAGATCATTGGTCTGGGAAACGTCTGGAGGTTCCCTTACCTGTGCTACAAGAACGGTGGAGGTGAGTCAGAGCGGGGGTGAGGGTGAGGGTGATTGGAGGTGATTGAGAGTAGGGGTGAGGGTGAGTCATGGGTTTTCTCCTCAGGAGTCTTCTTCATCCCGTACCTCCTCTTCCTCTTCACCTGTGGAATCC